CCATCCCCCCTGGGGGGGTGATTTTTCGCTTTCTGTCTCTATGTCTCTCTCTGTCTGTCTGGCGAGCACACGTACCCTATAGTGAAAACCTCTCCAAGAGAAAAAAAAAAAGAAATATTTTTAACTCAGCAATTTAAATCTTTGGAATTTATATTAATAAAATAATCTTGGACCAGCAGGTGGCATGGTAGTTAAGGGTGCTGGACTCCCCCATGGTTGACCATGGTTTGAGTTCCAGACCTGGCAGCTTGCATGCTCACTTTTGCCTCTCTCTCTCTGTCTCACTCTGGTCACATTAAAAAATAATAATAGTATGGAACTGGCAGGTAGCATGGTGGTGTTGAGGGCACTAGGCTCCCACATGGCTAATCGTGGTTCAAACCCCAGACCTGGTGGCTTGCTTTCTCAGTTTCTCTCACTCTCTCTCATACAATCAAATTAAAATAAATAAATAGATAAAGTTAAGCAAAAAAAAATTTTTTGGAGAGATTTCTGCCATAGGGCGTGTGCGCTTGCCAGAAAGACAGAGAGAGACATAGAGACAGAAAGAGAGAAATCACCCCCCGGGGGGATGGCCACACCGCAATCCCTTCTCCATTCTCCTCTCGGGATCTTGGGCACACACTCACACGTGCCCAGCATGAGTTTAAGCCACCAGGTCCAGGGCTTGAACCGCGGTCAACTACATCGAATTTCAGTGACATAGCCATTACGCTAACTGCTGGTCCCAATAAAATTATTTTTTTTTAAATAATAATAAAGTTAAATAAAATAATTCTTTAAAAAAAAAACAATAAAATAGAAAAATAATCTCAGGCCAGCCCTGTTGCCTCACAGTAAAGGGAGCCACATTCCACATGGTTGACTGCAGTTTGAGTCCCAGTCCCAGCAGCTTGGGGAACACACCAAAATTACTTGCATGTGCACCCAGAGTCCTGACACAATTAAGAAATGAAGGAGAGAGGTTTCTGGCATGGCCACACCTCAGTTAGAGAGTACTTTCTCCCTCTGTCTTTCTGTCTCTCTCTAGCAAGTACATGAACCTTCTGGCAATAAAAAAGTATATATATCAGGTAGTTGGAAAAGTTATAATGTACTTTTTCTACATTTCTAGGCAAAAATGCACCATGACTTTCTGACAACCCAATACCAGGTGTGTAATATGCATGCATAAATGTATACATAGAAATTAAGAAGTTAGCTACACTTATAATAGCAAAATTGTAATAATCTCAATGCCCAGTACAGATTTGAATGTACAGCCATTACGATACAAACTTATATTAATTGTAATTGAAAGATGAACATAATATATCGATTTGTTAAAGTTATAAACAGTCTATGCAGCTTTTAGGTACCTTTAAGTTTCTGGAATAGGGTGTATGTGCTTGCCAGAAAGAGACAGACAGAGAGAGGGAAAGTGAGACATCATTCCCCAGGTAGGATCCTTCTTCTCCATTCTCCTCCTGGGATTTTTGGGCACACACACACCCAGCATGATTTTTAAGCCACCAGGTCCATAACTTGAACTGTAGTCAGTCATGTGGGAATTCAGCACCTTAACTACCTTGCCACTGCATGGTTCAAATCTCAGCTCTAAGGGCTTGAAAAATACTGGGCATATATGCCCAAAATCTCAAAATGAAAGAGAAATGGAGAAGAAATTATTGAAGTGTAACTACACCCCAGCTGGAGGTGCTTTCACCCTCTCACCCTCTCTCTCTCTGGAAAATGTATGTGCCCTATGGCAATTTAAAAAAAAAAAAAACAGTCTGTGGGACCAGCAGATGGCATAATGGTTACCATGAAATGGTTACTGGACTCCCACATAGTCGACCACAGCTCAAGTCCAAGACCCAGTGGCTTAAAACTCATGCTTGGGCACATGTGTGTGTATGTGTGTGTGCATGCCCCAAATCCCAAGAGGAGAAAAGAGGAGAAGGGAATGTGGTTCTGTCTCTGCCTCTCTGGCGAGCGCCCTACAGAAAAAAAAAATCTCTTTTTAAAAAAGTGGTCTGGAAAATATAAAAATGTAATCAATCATTATCCTGTAGCTAGTGGAATTTCAGGCCTATAATGTTTTCCTAATAATTTTCCATATTTTCTACTTTTTCGACAATGAACACATCTTACTTTCAGAATTAGAAAAAAATGTTATAAAACCCTAAAAATATTAAAACACATAAAGAAAACTGTTAGAGTCTTAGAATTAATCAAGACACAATTACACATTCCCTTTTCATAAGACTAAAACTCATTAACACAGTGCAAGCAAACCAAAGTATGAACTCACTCATCATCCTGGAAACTAAGCTGTAACCTCTCTCTTGGTTCAGCATCGCTCTGGCTACTGGGAGATGACTCTGATGGAACGGAAAACCTCCCTTCTACCAAGTAAGATGCCTGAATATCAGGATACCTGTGCCCAAAGGAGGAAAAAAAATTAGTTTTGTTAGGGATTACACACATTTAAAACTAGCCATGACACAAGGTTGTATGACATTAAAACTAACTAATAAGACTCCCAGTGTTCAAAATCATCATCCTTTGGAAATCTGTAATCAGGAATGGGGAGATTACCTGTATTCATTAATACAGTCAAGGAAATCTTAAAATAAAAGAGGTTTTAGAGAGATAACCCAGACTTTTATCCCAAAGGTAAAGATGATGCGCTTCGCCAAATGTTTAAATTAAGAGGAGACATGAAAGTGGTTAGATAGTCAAGCACAGTCAAACTTATACATTATTCAAGGCTCTATATGTAATGGATGTATAAACTACACACATCACATCTAGAGATACAAAATAGAGATACAAAATAAGGTATAATTAACCTGACAATTTTTCTGGTTATAAAATTGGAATTTAAAAATAAAAATAAAAATTGGGGAACCAACAGGTGGTATAATAGTTATATCGCTGGACTCCCTTAGTCAGCCATAGTTCAAATCCTGGACCAGGTGACTTAAAACACGCCGGGCACGTAAATCCTGAGAAGAGAATGGAGGAGAAGGGATTGCAGTGTGGCCATCCCCTTGGGGGTGATTTCTTACATTCTGTCTCCCTGTCTCTCTAGCAAGTGCATGCACCCTATAGCAAAAACCTCTCTAAAAAAAAATAAAAACCTGGTTTAGTTCCTAAAAAAGAGAAACTTGACTTCAGAAACTCAAAATTATTAGAATGTAAAGAGCAAAGAAAGTCACCTTAGGAGTATATGACACACTGAAGTTGAAAGAGAAAGACAGCCATACAAGTACAGTAAAAAGAGAGAGCCTGTGATACCTCTAAACACACCCAAGGATCCAAAATCTTGTAATAAGTGAATGAATTTGGGATGGATACCTAATCCAGCTGGACCACTAACTCATGAGGTTTTAAGAGTAAGATCGATAGCCTCTTTTTCTAGACAGAAATGTAATTCATAAGGGGCCAGCAGATAGCATAGCAGTTACCTTGCTGGACTTCCACATGGCCAACTGCAGTCCAAGTCCCAGACCCAGTGGCCTGAAACTCACACCGGACATGTGGGGTGTGCATGCCCAAGATTCCAGGAGGAGAATGGAGGAAAAGGAACTGCCCCATGGCCTCCCCCGGGAGGTGATTTCTCACTTTCCCTCTCACTGTCTCTGTCTCTCCAGTGAGCACACATGCCCTAAGGCAAAAATCTCGACCAAAAAAAAAGAAAAAGGAATTCATAGATGTCTCTTGAGTTTGTGTTGCCATATTCTGCAACATGAAACAGAAAAGAACATAATGTCAGCATTCTGAAAGAGAAAAGAGAATGACAAAGAGAAGTAGAATAGAAAAACAGAAACCCAAGTCCTGATGGCTTCCCAGATTCCAATTCCTGTCCCTTCATGTGACACAGCTCTACATTCCTGCACTTGTTTTTCATGAGTTACTTTTTTCATAAGAGATTTTTTTCCGAGAGAGTGTGTGTGTTCACCAGACAGACAGACAGAAAGCAGGAAATCATGCTCCCCTAGGGGGGACGGCCACACTACAATCCCTTCTCCACTCTCCTCTCAGGATTTTGGGCACACACACACAAACACACACGCACCTGGCATAAGTTTCAAGTCACTGGGTCTGGAACTTGAACCACAGTCAACCATGTGGGACCCCAGCGACGTAACTATTACACCATCTGCTGGTCCTGGATTTAATGAGATACTCTTATACTCACAGGATTAATTTCCCTTATGACCTTCACTAAAAGAAATTGGTTTATGTAACCAGTAATTAGTAAGATTGAGATAATACAAATCAAGAACACTGAAGACGAAAAAAGAAAAAAAATTTTAATACAAAAATTAAAAATTTAGGAACCAGCAGTTGGAGAAATGGCTATGTCACTGGACTCCCATGTAGCTGTAAGGTTCAAGTCCCAGACCAGGAGGCTTAAACTCAGGCCCGGTGTGTGTACATGCATGCCCAAGATCCTGAGAGGAGAATGATGAAGGGATTGTGGTGTGGCCATCCCCCTAAAGGGTGATTTCTTGCTTTCTGTCTCTCTGTCTTCCTGGCAAGCACATGCACCCTAGAGCAAAAAATCTCTTAAAAAAAAAAAAAAAAAAAATTTTAAATTTAATTTAATCAGCACCAGAATAGATCAGTGCTGCTTAAATCCCAAACCTACCCAAGCTACACACTGCTAATGTAACAATAAATGAGGGAAAGGAACTGTGGTTCTACCTTTTCTATATGTATTTTACCTATTTGGCCATCTCCCTCACAGACAAAGCAAAAAGTTCAAGCTTAAGTGAGAAATTTTATGTAAATATCAGTACACTGTAGGTTTCATGAGCCCGAAAAAGAAATTCTGTTCAGACGTATCTTACCTGTTATCAGTGCTAGGTCTATTTCTAGCAAGTGTTGAAACAGCAACAGGCAGGCCAAGATTTGAAGACAAAGTGACATTTTCCAACATTTCACTATTACCAAGTAATGAATTGGTTAAAAAACTTGGAAATGACTCTTCCGCAATCCCTCGAAAATCTTCCATCTTACTGCAATAATAAAAGTATTTTTATGCATCGAATGCTACTAAAAAAACCTTTCAAATGATTATAAGTCTCACGAATATTATAAAATTTGCAAATCTTAAGGAAAAAATCAAATGTTTTAGAATATTACTAAGAGGGGATATACTGGCAAATATACTGAAGTAATTCTCAGAATATTTTGCTACTTTGTAACTGAGAATTCAAACATCAAACATTAAACTTATCTTTTATAATTAACATAATAATGAAGTACCACACTGCCTAATTTATCCTTGGCTTGGTGTAGCAAGGAATACAAATTACCACAAACTTACCTAGTAAAGAAAATAAAGATGGCATAACACCATAACACTGACAAGACATGCAGATGACTTTAGGGTGTATTTAAATGGTTTAAATGGTTGACAGTAACAAACTCATTTCACATGGAACAGAAAAAACAGAATGTAGCCCAAGTTTTCAGAAATTATTGTTAAGGATGAGTACGCAGTTTTTAAAAAGGGACCCATTCTGCCTTAACTCCATGGCCGAGTAGTTAAGGCAGCTGAACCCCACATGCCCTCCCCCATAGATCAAGTCTCAAATTTAGCATCTTTTTTTTTTTTTTTTGGAGAGATTTTTCACTATAGGGCGCGTGCGCTCATCAGACAGACAGAGAGAGACATAGAGACAGAAAGCGAGAAATCACCCCCCAGGGGGGATGGTCACGCCGCAATCCCTTCTCCTCCATTCTCCTCGCGGGATCTTGGGCACGCACGCACACGCGCCCGGCGTGAGTTTTAAGCCACCAGGCTCGGGACGCGAACCGCGGTCGACTACGTGGGAGTCCAGCGACATAGCCATTACGCTAACTGCTGGTTCCCCCAAATTTAGCATCTTTTTTTTTTTTTTTGGAGAGATTTTTCACTATAGGGCGCGTGCGCTCATCAGACAGACAGAGAGAGACATAGAGACAGAAAGCGAGAAATCACCCCCCAGGGGGGATGGTCACGCCGCAATCCCTTCTCCTCCATTCTCCTCGCGGGATCTTGGGCACGCACGCACACGCGCCCGGCGTGAGTTTTAAGCCACCAGGCTCGGGACGCGAACCGCGGTCGACTACGTGGGAGTCCAGCGACATAGCCATTACGCTAACTGCTGGTTCCCCCAAATTTAGCATCTTTTTTTTTTTTTTTGGAGAGATTTTTCACTATAGGGCGCGTGCGCTCATCAGACAGACAGAGAGAGACATAGAGACAGAAAGCGAGAAATCACCCCCCAGGGGGGATGGTCACGCCGCAATCCCTTCTCCTCCATTCTCCTCGCGGGATCTTGGGCACGCACGCACACGCGCCCGGCGTGAGTTTTAAGCCACCAGGCTCGGGACGCGAACCGCGGTCGACTACGTGGGAGTCCAGCGACATAGCCATTACGCTAACTGCTGGTTCCCCCAAATTTAGCATCTTTTTTTTTTTTTTTGGAGAGATTTTTCACTATAGGGCGCGTGCGCTCATCAGACAGACAGAGAGAGACATAGAGACAGAAAGCGAGAAATCACCCCCCAGGGGGGATGGTCACGCCGCAATCCCTTCTCCTCCATTCTCCTCGCGGGATCTTGGGCACGCACGCACACGCGCCCGGCGTGAGTTTTAAGCCACCAGGCTCGGGACGCGAACCGCGGTCGACTACGTGGGAGTCCAGCGACATAGCCATTACGCTAACTGCTGGTTCCCCCAAATTTAGCATCTTGAGAAACATCCCAGACATATGTGTGTGTGTGTGTGCACGCCCCAAATCCCAATGGGATGAAGAAACAGAGCAGGGATTGCAGAGTAACCATTCCTCACGTGCAGTACTTTTTCCCCTTCTCTGAATGTCTGTCTGTCTCTCTCTGGCAAGCAAATATACCCTTTGGAAATTTTATTTTTAAATATACCTTTTTAAATGTCTTTAATAAATAAATAAGAGCCCATTCAAAGAAAAATTTTAAGTTAAAGTACAGTTGACATGAACTAGGCAAAATGGTAAAAGTTTTTCACAGATGACCAAGTCTAGAAAATAGCAGCAAAAACCATATTGCTGACAGAGAACCCACAAGCCAACACTGGCCCATGGTTCAACTTGAAAAACTTTTACAAGCAAAATATGAGATAAGGGAGTTTTGTTTTTCTAAATTTTGTTGGAGTGCACATGTGCTCACTAGAGAAAAAGTGACAAGAGAAGAAGAGAAAAAACAGCCCCCAATAGGTGCTTTTTCAACTTCAACCTAGACTTCAATCCTGAGTTCTAGACGTGTATTTCCAAATGGCTCTTTGACATCTACTTCACCCGTGAATGCACTACCCCTCAGGTGTAATGGAAAATAAAAACAGGTTTGTCCATAGTCTAGTGGTAAAGGGAGCTGGATCCCACATAAACACACCAGGTACATGTATGTATCCAAAATTCCAACAAGATGGAAAAATGAAGGAGAAGGGATTGTGATGTAGCCAGTTACACCCCCTGGCAATTAAAAAAAAAAAAAAAAAAGACTGGGACCAGAGGATAGTGTGGTGGTTAAGGTGCTGAGCTCCCACATAGTCAATCACAGCTTAAGTCCTGGACCTGGCAGATTGCTTTCTCACATTCTACCTCTCTCTCTCTTTCTCTGTTATTAGTAATAATAATAATAATAAATTTTTTTTTTAAAAAAAAAAAAGCTCATTATCTTTCTTTTACCCACTCCTGTTACCTTTAGTCTTTTTTTTGGAGAGGTTTTTGCTATAGGGTGCATGCGATTGCCAGAAAGACAAAGACAGAAAGCGAGAAACCACCTCCTGGGGGGATGGCCACACCACAATCCCTTCTCCTCCATTCTCCTCTCGGGATCTTGGGCACGCACGCACATGCACCCGGCATGAGGTGAAGCCACCAGGTCCGGGACTTGAACCACAGGCGACTACATGGGAGTCCAGTGCCATAGCCACTACACTAACTGCTGGTCCCATTTTACCTTTAGTCTTGACCCACAAATCATCCCTATTCACTGGCTATACAAGTCAAATCACTTCAGACCACTTTAATTCCTCTTTCTCTTTCAATTAGTTACCAAATTCTGATGCCAGTAACTTCAAATACATCTCTGGAGTCTCAATATTCCCAAAGTCAGCCACCCATCACCTTTTATTTATCTACTAATTTTAATTTCCCAGAGGGCATGTGCACTCATCAGAGAAATATGGAGAAACAGAGAAAGCAAGAAATCAAACCCCCGTGAAGCATGTTCACACTGCAATCCTTTTCCCTCCATCTCTCTCTCCTTTCAGGATTTTGGATGCACACGCATGTATATCCAGAGTGTTTTTCAAGTCGCTGGGCCTGGGCTTCAAACCATATAGTCAGCCACGTGGGATCCATTCCTTAACCACCATGTCACCAGCTCACTCCACCCATCACTTTTTAATCTGAACTGTTCTCAAGTCTTAACTAGCTTGCCTGAGTCTAGTCTAGCCAAATTAAAAAAAAAAAAAAAAAATACAAGTATGACACACAAAGATCATTCATACAATCATTTTCAAACATAAATCATGACGGACACTCTACTTGGCACCAAGAATGCAAAAATAAATACAGCAGCTTTCTTAAGGGAACTATCATGCCCTACCAATTAAGGTACAAAGCACGAAGTGCTTCAATAGTTTTGATATGGGTGCGATGGTAACACAAGCCACTGAAAGATTCCCCTAGATGTAATATAGCTAGTCTCTCATTTCCAGAAATGATTACTCTTGCTGTAAACATACCACATTCCTAAAGCTTTTCTAAGAAGGGAAAATTCCCTAAAACTTCCCTCTATATTGCATTACTCGTTCCTTCAACATCACAAGTGAAGACAACACAGTATCTTTTTTCCTACCATATTTGGTTTTGTTAATGATTTCTTTAATTTTATTTATTCACTCATTTTTTTTTTAATTTGACCAGAGAGAGACACAGAGAAAGAGAGAGAGAGAAAGAGGGAAAGTGAAAAAGCAAGCCACCAGGTCCAGGACTCGAACCATGGTCAGCCATATGGGAGTGTCCAGTGCCTTTAATCACCATGCCACCTGCTGGTCCCTTTCCTACCATATTTGAACAGTAAGCCATCTTTGTCATTTTTCTTGCTATTTCCTTAAAATTCAATTTTTGCTTTTTTTGCCTTAGGCCAAGTGCGCCAGCAGGAAAGAGAGATACACAAACACAGTGAGAGGAAGAGAGAAATCACCCCCTAGGAAGATGGCCAGGCTGCACTCCATTCTCCTGCATTCCCCTTCTGGGATCTTGGGCACACATGCACATGTACCCAGCATGAGTTTCAAGCCACCAGGTCCAGTGTTGGCCATGTGGGAGTCCAGTGACATAACCACTAGACCATCTGCTGGTCCTAAAGCTCAAATTTTGCATATAGGTTTAATATTTAATTAATTTTCTGAGTATACGAAAGATTTTTGGTGTAACTGTTGGTTGTAAATGTATATCTACGATTAAATACACTCAACAGTACATGTGGAACCCAAAACTCTGTCAAATTTCTCCAACACTAATCATTTACCTTTGGCATATTAAAACATAGTTCAGAATTATGTAGGTATTTATATATTACTTTTCAAAGCTTACCGTAAACTTTGCCCACAAAACCTAAACTTGGCGGGAAAGCTGATTTTAGAGAGGTAAAAACGCCAGTTGAAGGATCTCAAAATGGTAACGGTAAATGGAAGTATTGTCACATAAACAGCTGTTCTCCAAACGGATATGTCGAAAGGGACTTCATGTTTTACTAAACAAAGTCTAAAATGAAAAACAAAAGTAAGGTAATATTAAGTATTCTTGTCTCGTATCATGTTCTGTTCATACTGAAATCATAGGCAAGGAAGGTAGGCAAGGTATTACCATTAGGAATAAAGACACTCTAGCAGAAACCAAATTAAAGTAAGTAACCGTGAAGTCGGGAGACTCCTCAGCATTCACCAGGTTACTTCCAATGTCAGTTTTAGACAAAGAGAAAGAGACCTGCCCGTCACGGTACAGATTTAAAACACCACAGATTAACTGACCACCTTGCAAGAAAGAAACTCCAGACCAAAGGGCGGAGTCTGTCCCTCACGAGTGGGAAGTCACCGAACAGAAGAGGAGGAAACAAGAGGTGATTCCGCATGTCGTCTACCTCAGCGCGCCTGGCCGAGAGCGTAGGATGCCGAGGCGTGCAATTACTCACTGCGTGGAATTCAACCCCAAGGCGCAGAAGGAGCGCTGCGGCCCGACCCCCGCCCAAGCCCCTGACCCAGAGCCTGCGCCTCCTAACCGGCCCAACCGTCACTGCGCAGCAAGTCGTGCAGCAGAGAGTGTGCCAACAGTAGATTCGACTGCCCCTCTCCCCGGCGCACAAGACACCTGCGCCCCACCTCGCAGAGCCGCGACTGGAGCCACGGTAGGCAAAAGGGAAGCCGAAAGGTCTGCCGCGGGAAGCCGTGTCCCGGCCCTGTGGCAAGTGCGCGGGCGCAGACCCCCCATCCCGGCAG